CGAACTACTTAGCTATGGATATATACATATTAATTGACTACCTCCGTGAACAAGTGGCTCGCCGTCCACATATCTGAAATCCCAAGTTCGATTCGCGGTCAGTTTAATGTAGGTAGATAATGAGATTTATATTTATTGCGTCGGGTCTGGGTTGTGGTGTCATTTCCATACTCCAGTGTTAAATCAATATATATACAAGTAGATATTGAGTATTAAAGTTATTTACTGAGTAATTGAAGCCAATGCTAAAATGTAATAACAACATTATATCTAATCCCTTGAGAAAATTATCGTGTGCATTATAGTGAATTGAGGTCGTGGATTACTACATACAACGTGTGCACCTTAGAAGCACGGCTATCAAAGTTGGAGAAACAAAACATATAACAAATATTCAATTTATATTGCAGCATTTGTGTTTAATGATAATTTATTTAAAAGCTTAAATATTACGAAATCGAAATATTCGAATAATATTTTCTGGAAGATACTCGTAGTAACGTAAAAAAAGAAAGCCATCAACAGTAACATATATAAAAATTCCCTTTTCGAATATATGACCTAACATATAATGAGCGAACTTCCCAAAACCTGAAATATTCATAACAATTTCAAGAAATAAACTTCTCGTGAAATCAAGAACTGAAAATATTCAGAAGCTAATAATAATATTTACAAAAGGTTTCAATAATAAATTCTATCGATATCAGGAAGATTTATCATCACAGCTTCAATCGAGAGCAAGTGTCCATTAAGATTTAAATAGAGCATATTTCTAATACACAATTACAAAATCTCGGCACGTAGACAGAGATGTATGATTATTGCAATACTGACCCCACCACTTACATAACACTGCGTTACATTTCAGAATGAGTCAGCGTATCATTTTGAAGTGACGACACAAATTACGTTAAAATCTATTTGGTAATATACAACATACTGAAAAGGTATTCTTTGTACACTCCGCTGTTATGTAAATATCACTTTTATAAGGCCGTAGATATTGACTGACTTGTTTTAGCAGATTTATAGGTTCCAGACTATTGTCTAATGACCTTCAATAATTGCACACTAAACTAGACTCCAAAATTATCTACATAGATAGAGCATGCTCACATAGCCTTAAGGGGTACGTCACGCGAGGGTCTTGTAGTTATTTACGTTCTTTTTATTTAAATATATAAATAACTAAAAGGAACCTAACAATATAAATAATTAATATAAAAGACACCCCTAACTTTTTTTTCGTGCAACATTCATAGAGATTTCGTTAAGAAGGTTAACAAAGACAACATTTTTAAATGTTTACACGACGTGTAAGATATTTTAGTTTTGAAAAATTTTTTTACCGCTAGTATAAATATTATAAAAGTTTGAGTCGTTACATTTTCCGTTTAAGATTCCGTGTAAAAAAGTTTTTTAACAAAATCATGTTTTACTAAATTCGCTACTTTAATTTAATCAATCTTAATAAGTATCGTATATTCCAGAAAACTACAATAACAAAACCATTGATAACATATGAAAATATTAAGATAACAACATAATCTAAACTTATTTCATTGATAAAGTCAATTAAATGTTTTTTATAGCTTTAGAAAGAGTTGACGGTCGCTCTACAGGTTGTCTTTCAAACAAAAATATAGAGAAGAAAACAGTATTTACGTACATCAGTAGTACCTATACCTACATACAAATTAAATATTTAAAAAATAACCGGTAAATGTATTGAAGAAATAAGATAAATTTTAAAATTTTATTACAAAAAGGTAAACTGCAACGCAAGCCTAGAAAAAAAATTGTGACGTTTATGGACCTAGTGCAGTTTCTATGAGAGTAACACAAATAAGGTTTAAACGTTTTCAGTCTAGAAATATTGATGTCTAATATGCACGTCGCTCCGGTTGCCCTATTACGAATAAAATGGATGCCATTTCTGAAAAAGCCAAATTGGCATATCAGTATTTACGACGAAGCTGATAAGTACTGGGGATTGACCACAAAACAGTTTTGGCGAATTTGAAAAAATCTGGGTATACAAAAATGTTGGATATTTTGGATACCTCATGAGCTTACTGAAATAAACCTAATGAACCGTGTACTCATTTGTGATCAATGTCTTATCCTTGATTTGTAATATGTGCAATAATTATAATATATTTGAATGTATTATTATTATTTATCCGAATTGGTGATTAACTTTGGTTATATATAACGTAGGCTATAACCACATAATGAAAACAACAGATTATGTTATAAAATTTGTTATAACATGGGTCATTTAAGTTCAGCTTTGATATTACGCAGTTACTGTTACAGAATTAAATAGAGGTTTAGAGAGAATCAAATAAAACGATAACATTACCTTTTCTTCATGGACGTAGAAAGTTGGGTCATGCCCTCACCAGCCGCACTGCCTAAAGTGCTGCTCGTAAAGACTTGAAATTGAGAGGATACACATTCGTCTTATTATGTAGAAGAGTACTAAGAACGGTTTTTTGGAAATTTCACCCCATAGGGAGTTAACCCTTAATTTGGCAAAAGGTGTTTTGCATGAATATTTGGATAAGATTGGTTTATATGGTAAAATATGAAAAAAACATATTTTTTTAATTACGCGAAAACACCATCATGATTTTTAACAACATTGCCAAAGTTACGATAAAGTAAAATATGTATTTTTTTAATGAAAATCTCAAAAACAATTCCGATTTTAGTGCAACATAATCTAACGTCACATTTTACACAAATTATTGTGAAATACCTACCTATATTTGCACAAAGACAGAGACATTTATCGGTATCATAACCCAAATGGCAAGAAATTTTTCAATATCTTTATTTGGCACATTTATGAATCTGAATGATTTTCCCATATTGGTCTAGTAAAAATGATGTCCAGCAAAACAGAAACATGAAGCAAAGCTAATAAATACACAGTTAGCTTTGACCTGTTGAAGTAACTATGGACAAACAACCTCTACATCCAACTACGGCCAAAGCAAATTGAAAATAAAGTGTATTAATATAAACGTACCATTCAATGCATTATGCCAATACATGGTCAAGGAACAGTAACAATTTATTTTTATATGAAAAGTACAAAAACAAATAAGCTCAAAACTTTTGGTAATGTTGCTTTTTAGTTACAGTCCTACTTAATATTGTTATATTTATGATTTGGTAGAATCAATAGATTTAAAATTGAATATTCATTTATTGCTACTGATTGAGTTATGTTTGACAGGTTCAAATTTAAAGTCACCTTACGTAAAAGTAGGCTACGATGATTTGAGATGGGTCGTTGAGAGATATACCAACGAAACGTAACGAATAAGTAAATCGACTTGTTCTAATTCTGTTATGAAACAGCCTCGAGCTCGAAGTCGAACGCAGTGCTCACTAAATGAAAGATGATACAAGTTTTATTTCATTGAACTACTATGCTGTCACATCACTGTGCTTGGTTTTTTTATATATTAAACCCTGGAAAGTGTTCTTCAACAAACATCAAACTGACTGAATTGAGCGATTTTCTTAATCTCTTTAATTTGTAATTTATTAAGGTAAAATTAAGTTAACGATAAGCTGAACATGGTACAAAAATAATGTAAGAACCTACGTTATTTCTTAGTAGGTAACTCTTCACGGTATAATAATCATGACATCATTTTATAAAGATTATGATTGAAGTCTCCAAATATGAATTAATAATAGAATCTCCTTCCAAACTCGTAACTATGTATAACGCTCGTCCGTTCAGCATAATAATAAAACATAATCTTTGGATGCGATGTGGATTGTATTTGCCGGAAAAATCATAAATATCTTAAGGTCTTTCAATCAGTTTAAACATTTTCTTCCGATTTCGAGTTAAGTTCCATTAGTTCAGTCCACTATTTTTCCTATCCTTGATTATGGTGATGTGTGTTATACTGATTATTCCCAAGAATTGGTTTCTTCACAACTTAATAGCCAGTAGCTCGGTGGCGTAGTGGATAAGCGCTGCAACCCACGATCGTAGTCGTTAAGCAACTTTCGCATGCCAAGCATGGCCAATCCATAAGGATGGCCTGAGCCCCTGCAGTGGGGACGTAAAAGTGCTGGTGATTATGACTTAATAGCTGTATACACTTTATCTATGGTCTTCGAAAATATGAACATATCGTCATATCATCTTAAATATATCAAAATATCAACATATCATCTTATCGCAATGAACTTAAATGATTGACAGTTCGCCAACGGGACTTGAGAATCATTTCTACTCTACTCTATGATTAATAATCCATGTGCTCCTGGATATCTGAAATGCAAGTTTCAGTATTTGGGTGCCTCTCACAATCGAACTCTTCGCTCAGACAATAAATTACCCCTTTCCACCGAATTGGTTTTATTTCAAACTCATTTACTCTTCAGGTAATAGTACCAAATAAAATCTCCTTCAAATTATTATTTCGTGAATATCTTTTAAATTCATCATCCTCATCTGGTTATCCCATAATTTGGTTAGATATGTATATTTGTATAATTATGTATGTATTTATATATTATATATACTAGCTTTTGTCCGCGACTTCGTCCGCGTGATATAGTTACTTTGGGCATCATATTTTCCAAAAACGCTGATGTTTTTTGAGCTAACGATGAAATTACCTTGATGTTTAAGTTCGAAGATAGTACAACAAAATACCAACGAATGTCCAATATTTTTCAGCACTTTATCTTTGAAACTTTAGAGACATTAATCCAATTCAATGCAATTTGAAATAAAAATGAAAAAAAAAAACAGTTCTGAAGTTTACACAAAACTTAATCGAAAACGTAATCTACGCAAAATTCTTTGAAAGAAACGATAAACGCCATCTAGGACACAGCGCCATCTATTGGGTGTATTTGCAACCTAGATGTCAAACGATATTGAAGAATTTTATCTATGAATCACAGTACACCGCCATCTATGAGAACTTCATAAAACTAAACGGTAAATAAACACTTGCTTAAGAAACAATTAATTAGAACATTTTATTTGTTTACATTCACGACATAAGCGAATAATTGAGATGATAACTATCCAGTAAGTTAGACCAAAATACGACTACATGTGAAATTTGATAGAAATCGGTTCAACAGTTTTGGAGTTTATTGGCAACATACATCGTGACACAAAATTTTTATATATATATAGTTTTATCTATTTAAATATGTATTTGATTATGTATATTAATTCATGATGTTTATTTATGTTTAGGATATTATAATGAAGTAAGATATTATAAATATTTGTCTAATACAGCTGATCTTTTCGCACCGCCTCATATACTATCTGTATACAATACTACGGTTGATTAGTAGAGAATGCCTAATGGAATTAAGTCCGCCATTTGTACTGTGTGCAAAAAAGTTTAAATAAAAAATAATAATAATAATAAATATTATTCTTTTAGATTCAATCATGTCGCGCAGACTCGCAAAGCGATACCTGACCGAATCCGATGGAGACGGCAACCCTCTGCCAGCGGACACACAAGCTATAGCGGAAGAAGAGCTTCGGGAAACAAAAAACGCTCGCACACAAGCACTGACAGCCCTGCGCAACTGGATGGAGCAGAACCCTAAATTTATGGCTGTCAGGATTGGTAAGAAAAATCGCTGCTACTCATTACTAACCAAGCCACCAGAAAATTGATAGCGATCGCTGAGTTCACTAACCGAGCTGTAGAAATCGATCGCTAGGAAACTAACGAATACTGCTAATTTGTCAGTTATACTCGAAACATGCCTAACAAATAACAATATAATTAATTGTAGAGTCTTGTAATAAGAGTTAACTTACGGTTGCCATAGATTAGCGACCAATAGAAATTGCGATCGCAAACTCTACAGCCCCAGGATGTGCAGGCGTACAAGAGTCATTAAGCTATTTTAATTTCGAACATTTTTAAGACTCCCTCTGTTGCTTACTTTTGACAGTAGGCTAAGTATAGATAGGAACATTTTTTCAGAACAAAACAACAATTTCAATCACGTCAACCACATTTAAAAAGTAATTCAATAATGTTTAGAACTTCATAAAACTAGTATCGGATAGTCTCTCTCTTGTCTCAGATATTCTCAAACTCGAATATTTATCAAGATTTAAAGAGAAAGGCCGCTGATGAAAATCGATCGACCGTTGATGAAAATTTTTTTTTTCTAGACTCCAATTTCCTTCTTCGTTTTCTCCGGGTGAAAAAGTTCAGTGTCCCAATGGCTCAAGAGGCGATCGAGCGCTACATCCTATTACGGCAGTCATGGGGCATCGCCTTCAATCAACTCGATCATACCCTCCCAACAATGATGGAGTTAATCGACTTGGGGTCAGTATCATAATCAGTCTAATAACTATACAAACAAACATGAAGAACCTCAGTGGTATTAACATTATTAGATTCTAATCACCTTCAACGGTAACTTAAAATCTATTATTTTTTACCTTTTTTTAAGTCAACATTTACTTATTTATAAACAGTCCTCGGTGCGCCAATATTGCATGTAGACGATTTTTTATATTTGTCCTTTTTACCCGACTGTGCAACACAAAGGAGGGTAATGTGCTTATAAGTCTACGTATGTATCTATATATCTATATGGCATTGTAGAGACCGAACAGCTTGGCCAATTTTAATGGTTTATAGGTCAATCGATTTATCTTAACCTTGCGAGTGTCAACACATAACAGTATTCCTAATAAAAAATACTTAAAGAATCCACTTGGTCCCTGGCACCCTGAGATGGGATTCGAACCCACGACCTTTCGCAATCCGGGCGACTGCTCTAACCGCTGAGCTACCCAGGACCTAACAGGACTGAAGAGTCAAAATTATTTAGACTGTAATTTACTTTAAATCATCTACATATTTATTATTGATAGAATCAACTGACCCCTGCCAATATTTTTTACAGTATCAAGCTATATTAAAAATAATGCTAATTAATTGTAGTGTAACACGTACAAACATAATTACATGTTCCAGGTACATATTCGTGAGTCCATTCAAAGACAAACGCGGTCGTCGTGTGGTGGTGTACAGACCTGGTAGATATACCGATATATACCCTCCGGTTACAGCATACATGCTTATATTCTATATTATTTTATATGTATTTAGTGCGATATACTTATATATTATTGTTCATCAGGTATGTATTTATATATAATCTTTATATTAAATGTCTCATTGCAGTACCGTGGTCAGAAGGAAGATTAAAAAGATATTCGCTTACAAGCAACTGGGCATTGTAACACGACGTATAAAATATACCTTTGTGTAGTTTTATCTTGGAATACCTTAAATTACCCCAATAATTAGACATAATAAATAGATGTTTATATCAAATATTGCTATCAGGGTCAGGTCCAAGAGGAGACGAGTCGGGCAATTTAAAATCTGTAGCAGCACCCTAAATTTTGTCTATGAAAAATCTTATTAAAACGAGCACGTAGTAGCCCAAAAAATTTGTGCGTGTTTATCATTAAAAACGATAAATCAAATTCACGATTTTTCTATCTCTTTTTCTTTTACTGCTAATGTCTGAAATAAAAAAAAAATTATAAGCACTTTGTTATCTATTATAACCAGAGTTTAATAAGCAATTGATATTTATTATTGTCATTATCTTTACAGTTGGTTTACTACTATTAAAATTAACAGAAAATTAATAACAAATACATATTGAAATGAATATCCAATTATCAATTTTAATATTGAAATATGAAATAAAAACGATATACCATAGGAAATGTGTATTGATAAGAAAATTTTCCTGTATATAAGCAGACATTTCTTCGAAAGCCCAAGTAGGCTAACATGTAAAAGTACTCATGTTATATTATGATTTTATTGTAAAGGGAAGCTGATATTATTTTTCCCTGAGCGGCGAAATAGCTAAATCCGGACCTGATTGCTATATTTGATTTGTGCTAATATTAAAGATATATATATATAATTTACTCTTCTTAAACTTCTAGAAATTTTAAAATTGGTTTGGTTATAAATAAATAATGTTAAGCCCTTACTAACCTTCTATCAACCACTGCATCCAGTGATTTGTGTATTTATTTATATTTTAGATAATAACTTAGTACTTTATTTAATATTAATATTGCACTATAGAAGCACTTTTCGTCCAGATTTCCAGCACATATCGGGAGCAGCTTTGATTGAATGATGTCAGCACGTGGTAGTATTATAATTTAAGATTAGTACACCAGAGAGAAGCTTTTTTTATAAGAGAATTATTTTCTTTATTATAGTAGACACATTAATGATCAAAAGAATCACACTACAACAATAATTACGTATTGTTATAATTGCGACACTATAATTGTTTAATTATTTTGAAAACTCTAGTGTCTGCTTTATTAATTGATTTTCGCTCTATATATAGTGTGTTCCTATGGCTATACATGTATAGTGTGTTCCTTAGGCAGCTAAAAAACAGAGAATGACCCAAAGTCTTATGTGAGCGTTGAAAGTAAACGATTTGTATCGCTCTCCATAGAACTCTGTACCGGAATAATGACTATTAATGTATGATTGTTATCAGCATATGCTCTTTGTAAGAGCTACTTTGCTCTTAATTAACTGTTGTTGAAGAGATGAAGTCTTCCACCAAGCGCGTCGAATGGCAACTCGGTTAATGAGACAACGCTTTAATGCATGAGGGTCGGAACCCACTCTGTCTGCATCGAGTTGACAGATGAGAGGATTCCGACCTAGGAAGAAACTGACAGAAAGGACGATTTAGGAATAAAGATAGTAAAGAAAGTGTGGTCACCGACCTACAGCGTCCCATACAACAAAACCTACTGTAGAACATTGCAGTTACGAAGCAGAATTCTATGTACAGTTATCGTTATATATAAAAATCGGTTACTTTTGTCACTTACATAATAACTTGCCTCATAATCTGTTTTATCGGCCCTGTGAATAGACTTCAATTACGAGAACAATCGCTTATCGTTGGAAGTTGGTTATAAGGATATATTTGTTTTTTTTATGAGATAAAAAAGAGAAAGCCGCATCTAAGTACATTCAATGTATGGATACACTAAGAATAAATATATACTGTTTATTTCAAATAATACATATTTTAAACCTAGCGTCAGATTTTTTAAGACTTTCAAACTGTTTTAATCGCTGCCCTATATTTTTTTTACTAGAACTATGAAATATTAATTGGCATTTATTTTTATTTACTACTTCGGTATTATTAAATATACCCGCTTACAATCTTTGGAGTTAACTTTTATGCATTTGTCTGTATTAGTCTCTTTATGCTCTAGTCCTAAAATATGAGTGTATGCAGGAGTGTTCGATCCATACAAGTACACAAACCAAGACATGTGCCGCGTGATGGGCATCTGTTACGAGACTTTACTGGAGGACGAGGAGACACAGGTTAGAGGGTTGGTGCACTTCGCAGACGGCAGCGGGGTCAGCTTCCCACTTCTCACACTTTTTACACCCAAAGAGGCCGTCAGGATTGTCAAAAATGGAGAAGTAAGTATTCAATGGGTATACAGAACAGGAACGATTGGAAGTCACAAAACACAGAAAGAGAGAATTAATACAAAAAAAAAACTTTAAATGCCGTGTCGTACCTACTCACGTTAACTAATAATACTCTTTTGGATAATTTTACTATTTTTTTTTAAGTTAGGCTCTTCTTAAATTCATTTATGTAAATGAAAACAGATGACTTCATTACTGACGTACTTAATCACTTAACGTACGACCGCTTAACTCTCTAGCCAAAGGATACGAAGTCTTAACTGTGAAAACACCCTTATGACGAAATATCGCGATAAGGCGTATTTCGTTTTAATTTACTAATTTGACATATAGAATAACGATTATGGATTTCACTTGATAGAAGTGTGATATACCGTCTCACAGTCGCACAAACGTCCATTAATTGGCATTAGTTTAAAGCACAGCAACGATAAAAAAATTCAAATTTAGAAAATTCACTAGAGTTTAAAATCGACTTTATACCCTAATGGACGTTAGTGCAATCAACCGGTAGTCATTCGTCCATTAAGGTTTAATGTCGCCTTTAAGTTCTAATGACAATGTTAATGGACGTTTGTGCAACTGGCTCATTTAGCCACCGAAAAGACATCCTAAAGTAGTAGGTAAATTGAAACGAAATATCGCCATTACATAGCTAACAATAAGACATTATATCCTATGGCTAGTGACAGTCACACCTCCCTGACGTGTTTCGCTCCAAATATTTGCCTAATAAAAAGATAATTGTATTATAATTTCAGCGTACTTTGCCGCTACGACACAAAGAGATCTACGGAATTAACGTACACCCTACGGTGAAATTCGCTCTCGATTTTGGCATGTCGCTTATCTCAGACAAGATCCGCAAGCGCGTGCGACTGTACAGTTCACCGGATGATGTCGAGATCGACAAGAAGTTATTGCCGCAGGAATATGGCGGCGAAATGCCAATGAAAGAAATGATCGGTACTAAATCCTAGTTATTGTCTTGTGTATTGCAATAATATTGTAATGCAACATACCTACTCGTATTCTTGATCCACGAAACTCTTGTTTCTTTTTTTTTTCTTTTAACTTTTCACCAAGGAACTTTTCTACTGTATACTTTACCGTAGTTTTTCTCGTTTCATATTTGCGTGACAAAATCATGCCTGAATGGCAAAAGCACAGGCCAAAAGATTGTGGGTTGCATTGATGACACCCTAATTTAAATGTTGAGATAGTTGTAGTTAGATCATCTATCATTATTATGTAAGACCGTTGTGAGCAATTCTAACTTTAAGATAGGGAATACATTGAAAAATATACATACCTACTTAATGTCAAAAAAATGCCTGAAACAAAAATATATTGTAGATATCAATATATACCCACATACTATTAATGGCAGAAGAAAATTAGCCTCGTGATATGAAAAAAAAAATGCGGATCACAATCCCTATTTGTGCCGATTTCTGAGTTACCGGGTTTCAAGGCTGGTTAGGCCAAATTATATAACCGACGCTAGTATATTACGAGGAACTAAATTCAGATTATAAAATCTAAGGTACCAGATAACGGGATCTCTACACGTTCCTGTATATGATATATATCTGATGTTTACTTATTATTATTTCAGAGCTGTGGAAAGTAGAATTGGCCAGCAAACGCGACATTTTGTTGTTAAACGACAAAATGGCGGTCCGTTTAGAGATGTACAGCGAAGCGGCGAGGGAGGGCGCTGTGTCCGCGTTACGGGCGGGCGCTAACACGTGCGCTGGCGCTGACGCCGTCGGCGACGCCATGCGTGGACTCACCGGCAACTTTAGAAAACTAGAAGTAGACTAGGACTGACTGTTTTATTTTTAATTAATACTTAGCCGGTCTAGGGTAACTAGAATAAACGAACTGAGCCTATTTTAATTTTTAAGTTAATTTTAGACACCATTATGTACAAACGTGAAGAGGAAATAAAAACAACATATATAATTTTTCAAGTTATTTATTTTAAAAAATCCATTCGCTACCAATTCGGTAGAAATCAATATAAGGTTTTTCATATACTCATATAAAATGCAACGATATCGGGTGAGCTTCGAAGGAAATCTCTTTAGATTTTAGACGATCACTATAAAACGACATATTCATCCACAGATTAGAATATCGCATGAAAAATAGTCCAAAACCAAAGGAGACTTACTCGAACATACAAAAAATGTGCGTTATCATTTAAAACTTCATCAGAAATGGCACATCGGATATTCGTTTTGTTGGCACATACAAAACTACATTATAACACTAAAACAACTACGCACGTAGGTTCGTCGTAGAACATACATTTTAATTAACGTAGTACTTTACATCGCCATCTCGTCACGCACACAATAACAACTCACAGAAACATTGATACCAAATAATATAATACTGAGCATATAAAACTAATGATTTTATATTGTTAATGAGGGTTACGTTTTGTTTACATCCTTAAATGTTATTGCTGAATATTTTATAGAACGGAAGATCTTTGTTTCCATTTCATCATCTCGTATACAACACGACCGCTACTGTTATTTAGGTACATTATTATTTGGCATTGGCAATATGGAATATAAGTAGTCTACAGGAATAGCTCCTACTACTCTACACGTGTCTCATTGTAAAATAATTATGGCACTATATCACTTACTATCGCTGTCAGACACGTCATTAACTTAACCATTGCTTGAAATATACAACTAAAAAAGACTCAAATATATTTAAAAAAAAATGAACAAAAATATCAATGGGTCTTGGGCAAAAAGTCAGTCAGTAGTTTTATTTAATAAAAATATATTTGCGTCAATGGTTTGTTATATAAATTGTACTTACGGCACGATGTAAAACAATCATAATGAATAAACGCACACACTATAAACCCAGTCCACAATACGAACGATGCTGCTAGTACTTGTATAAGTACGAGTAATAGTAAGGCAGATGACCATGTTTTAACCACTGGCCCCTTTACGGCTATTTGGGACTTCGAGGCGATCTTACACACAGGATAATATATTAATATATTACTTTACCATATAGGAACTTTTAAATGTTGCATTTAGTCAAAACCAATACAGTTGACAGCCGTGATGTGCCAAAGTTCACTTTCTTATAACGTTTAAAATGGTCAAAACAGCGTTGTAATTATAAAATGTCCAAAAGTGCGTCATAATCTTTAAATTACAAAACAGGGACATCTACCCTACTTATAGTACAAACTGAATAATGAAATAAATTATATCCTATTATATATTTCGTAGTTCCGTTTAGTAATGTATATTAAAAATATAATTAAATTTAACATTATAAACTTATTAATAAACTATCGCTATAATAATCTTAAATGTATAATAACTGAGTTAATGCATCAATAAAAATTAATCTATATAAAATCGCTAACAGATAATAACATAAACTATTTTATTAATAGGTTATTTGCCTTGGCACTATTTTGGCAAACATGTAAGTATTAAAATCACCTTATTCATTAGTACTAGTACTAATAGTTCAAAAATATCTCTATTCAAAAGCACTTCTAAAGTGTCACACCCACGATGCGAATGTGTCTCGCTCGTAGTGTGTAGCGTACTTAACACGTATGTATACAGTCCCAGGTTCATTAAATTATTGTAAACCTACACATTAATAATTACAACCGGAACTAAGTCCGATAAATGCTTAATTTAGAGCCAAGACCGGGTGAGCCTTCTTATGAACTTGTAACACAACACACAACATTTTACGCCAAAGAACCATACTGTGAAATGGAGAAAGGCAATTGAGAAATGTGTTTAATTTGTTAATTTTTCAGTAGCAGTAAGTTTCTGTGGCAATCATTGGACACGAAAATATTTACGTCCATAAAAAGATAAAGTTAAAATAATTTAATTAATCGTATTAATCTTTCCATAAAAGTACACGATAGTGTATGACAATCACATTTATTTTGCTCTGTAAAATAAACATTATTTAGAACATGTTCAATATATCATTTTTTTTATCTGTTATCTCTCTGGCAGTGTTGTATGATAGTTTTTATATGAATATCTTCTAGAATATTGGTAACCGATAGTCAGTTAACAAGATCAAACAATTTATATATTTTCTTCACGACAACGAAACGCCACGATTTACTTTATTCAGACTATTAAAAGATGGCTAGACTAACATCCAATTTAGATTTTTAATTTAAATTAATGAAAATGTGCATATCATTATATTTAATATGTATTGTATGAATATTTTATTTACATATATTGATGATAACTAAAAAAGAGTCCTATCTCCTTTTTTTTTGGCTGATTGTCAAAATTTATCATCAATATATTTGAGTTAATAAAAAATAAGACAGACATTATACGGTTAGTGTTTCAGTTTTATTTCGTGCAAAGACCTATTTCTATATGTACGAACGTGCTGTACACGGCACAACATTTATTTTTGTCAGTAGCCTATTTAACATGAATACAATGAAGAATACATTGCCGTGGGGTGCCGGCCTAAGAGTAGCACCCCCCCATATCCTCCCGTGGGTGTCGTAGGAGCCGACAGAGGGATTATACGGAAGGCGGGCAGCAGCGCCTCCCGGTATCATCTACCACCACCTACTGCGATCCCCAAGTCGCCTGCCAAGCGTGGGGATTATGGCAACCCCCCCCCCCCTCATGATGGACGACAATTATGTACGGCCCCCAGTCCCCGGCAGCCCCTCTATTCCTGTCTCTGGTAGCGGGACAGGTAACGGAGGGGCAGGGGGTGCTAAGAATCTCCGGCAGATTAGGCGCTACCAACACAAACGGACTCTGGCCCTGGCAACATACAATGTCCGCACACTGAGGACTGACGTGAAGCTATTAGAGCTGGAGGAAGAATTGAGCAAGTTGCGATGGGACATAGTGGGATTATCCGAAATCCGAAGAGAGGGCCAGGATACGGTAATCCTTGAGTCCGGTAACATGCTCTTCTTCCGGGAAGGAGATCAAAAATCTCAAGGTGGTGTTGGGTTTCTCGTTCACAAGTCCCTCGTGAACAACGTGGTGAAGATCGATAGTGTGTCGAGCAGAGTGGCGTACCTTATACTCAGAATTACCGAAAGGTATTCGCTGAAGGTCATACAGGTTTACGCCCCGACCTCTGCACACTCCGACGATGAGGTAGAGGCTATGTATGAGGAGATTTCTGAAGCCATACATACGACTAATACCTACTTCACCGTTGTAATGGGGGACTTTAACGCGAAGCTGGGCGCTTCGAACGGCGATGAGTTGAGGGTGGGTCGATTTGGGTATGGGCGGCGCAACCACCGGGGCCAGAAGCTGGTCGATTTCATGGAGAAGGAGGGACTCTTTGCGATGAACTCCTTCTTCCAGAAGAGACCCTCCAGGAAGTGGACCTGGATGAGCCCTGATGGTTCGACAAAAAATGAGATCGACTTCATCATGACAACCAGAAAGCACATATTCAATGATGTCTCCGTGATCAGCAGGGTGAAAACCGGTAGCGATCACCGAATCGTTAGAGGCACATTGAATATCAATGTTAAGCTCGAAAGGTCACGTCTGATGAAGTCTACGCTCCGTCCTAGTGCTGCTCATATCATGGACCCCGAAGCCTTCCAACTCCAACTGCACAATCGCTTTCAGTGTCTAGCTGAATGCGAGTCTGTGGACGAAATAAACAACGGGTTTGTAGAAACAGTCCAAGCTGTGGGGTCTAAGTTCTATAAGGCCCCGCGCCGTATTAAATCTCAAAAGCTCTCAGACGAAACGCTCAAGTTGATGGCGGACCGGAGGGATATGAGACTGCAATCTTCAACCGATATGTCGGAATATGGTCGACTTAACAGACGAATTTCCAAATCGATGCGACGCGATCTGCGCTCCTATAATACTACACGTATTAGGGAGGCAATAGAGCGGAACCAAGGCTCCAAAGTGTTTGCACGAAATTTGTCTGCTGGGTCGAGTCAGATGACGAAGCTGAAGATCGACGACGGCAGGATCGTATCTTCAAAACCGGAGATTCTGATTGAGCTTGAGAGGTTTTATGGACAGTTGTACACATCATCACAACAACCCGTTGAAAGCAATGCTCAGGACACCAGAGCAAAGCTGACCCGACATCACACCGAGGATATCCCAGACATCAGCCTGTACGAGATTAGAATGGCACTCAAACAGCTGAAGAACAACAAGGCACCGGGGGATGACGGAATCACTACTGAACTTTTGCGAGCGGGTGGAAAACCGGTACTCTTAGTCCTCCAGAAATTGTTCAATTCCGTCATTCTCGAGGGTACGACGCCAGAAGCGTGGCACAGAAGCGTGGTTGTGCTCTTCTTCAAAAAAGGTGACAAGACCTCGTTGAAGAATTATAGACCAATCTCGCTTCTGAGCCACGTTTATAAGCTGTTTTCGAGGGTCATTACGAATCGTCTCGAACGCCGGTTTGATGACTTCCAGCCTCCCGAACAAGCTGGTTTCCGAAAAGGCTTTAGCACCATAGACCACATACATACGCTGCGGCAGATTATACAGAAGACCGAGGAGTATAATTTGCCACTTTGCTTAGCGTTTGTGGACTATGAGAAAGCCTTCGATTCAATCGAAACTTGGGCAGTACTGCAGTCCCTCCAACGATGCCAAATCGACTACAGGTACGTCGAAGTGTTGAAGCGTTTGTATAGCAACGCCACAATGTCGATTCGCTACCAGGAAGAGAGCACGAAACCAATCCAATTGCGCAGAGGCGTGAGACAGGGAGATGTCATTTCTCCGAAACTGTTCACGAATGCATTGGAGGACGTCTTCAAGCTCTTGGAATGGGGCGAATACGGCATCAACATCAATGGCGAATACATCACTCACCTTCGTTTCGCCGATGATATAGTCATCTTGGCAAGATCGATGGAGCACATCAGTACAATGCTCAGCGACCTGAGTATCGTTTCCAAACAGGTGGGTCTTAAAATGAACATGAACAAGACGAAAATCATGCCGAATGTCCATGTTGCACCCGTACCGGTGGTCATTGGAACTGATACTCTCGAAGTTGTCGATCACTACGTGTACCTTGGACAGACAATCCAGTTAGGTAGATCCAATTTCGACAAAGAGGTCGCTCGAAGAATCCAACTCGGCTGGGCAGCGTTCGGGAAGCTACGCGATATCTTCACGTCCAAATTACCACAGTGCCTAAAGACGAAGGTGTATAACCAGTGTGTGTTGCCAGTGATGACCTATGGCACTGAAACGTGGTCCTTAACTGCTGGCCTCTTAGAGAAGCTCAGAGTCGCTCAGCGAGGCATGGAGAGAGCTATGTTAGGGGTTTCTTTGCGCGATAGGATCCGAAACGTGGACATTCGCCAAAGAACTAGAGTGACCGACATAGCTCGCAAAGTTTGTAAGCTGAAGTGGCAGTGGGCAGGCCACATCGCTCGACGAACCGATAACCGATGGGGACGAAAGGTTCTCGAGTGGAGACCACGAACCGGAAGACGCAGCGTGGGTCGACCCCCGACTAGATGGACGGACGACATCGTCCGAGTCGCGGGCGGCCGCTGGATGCAGCTGGCACGATGTCGTCCGTCGTGGAGTTCAAAGGGGGAGGCCTATGTTCAGCAGTGGACGTCTTCCGGCTGATGATGATGATGAATGAAGAATACCAATAGTGATTGGTGTATGGCTATATTTAAAGTGTTACTTCTCTGCTCTCCGCCGACTTCACCCGGTAGTTGCTCAGTAGAAAAGGCGTAGGAACTAGATCGATGCCGCGTCGCTGATGGAGGCGACGGTTCAAAGTCACACATTTGTCGTAACACGATCCTTTTACTGAAACAAAACTTTTCTTTTCAACTAACTGATTTTCTTACCACTTAAACGAATATTTTAAAAGAGCTATTTGATTAGCTCTTTCTCGAGTTCTTGGCTACCTAGGACTAGTGATCTTTCCAATATATTTTCCTTCTAAGATACATTAAGACAACATGAATTACAACAATCGGTTTAACCACAGAACACAGAAAGACGTTAGAAGTACCTTGTGGGCGTGGCAACGTAGCCACGATCCTGGACAAATGAACAGGATCATGACTTCAGCACGCGATCGCGATGTTTAGTCATTAACGAACGCGCGCGCTATAATTCAGTGAAACACGCCATTAAAAGTGTTAAAAATGCCGGCTTGCGCGGTTATTAATTGCAAAACAAGAAGCCAATCCTCAAGTAGCTCCAAAGGAGGGTTTTCTTTTCCAACCAACTAACTAACAAACATAAAAAAGTTCATGTTTTTTTTAATATTGATATCTAAAGGAAAAATATAATATCACAATCAATACAATTCAATGTATATCTAAAGTAATATAAAGAAATTATTACTCCAGTATCCTTTCAATTAATTGTTGTTTTTAAATATCGATAGTAAATCTATATGTCAATCACTAGTGTAATATGTCAAATTAAAATGGCTTTTACACGTTTCTTACGCACTCTAGATGTCTGTTACGGTTGAGCGTGATTGGTTATAGTTATATTGGAGCGTCCTGATTTTGACACACACTTGCATTTTCAACATTGGGCATGTGCAAGGGTGTGCATATCTTTTTGGTCTAATATTTCGTCTGATGTATGGGGGACGAAAAGTGAGGCAAGACTGGTGACATCAGTTTTCGTACAAAAGATGCATGATCGCTTTTCTAACCTCTTTTCTGTGTTCTGTGAGTTTAACTTATTCTTGATCTAATTACATGATATTATGGCAACTATTATCACGGATATACATCTGAGTGGTAAGTGTAAGTTTTACGCTAACGCGTTCACTAGTGAGCGCGTTAAGAATTTGTATGGAGATTTGTAGTTCTTGATAGTTACCGCTAGGGGCGCTGTACCGGATTCCATACTAAAAAATCTTAACGCGCTCACGATCGACAGTGAACGTAAACGACAAAAAACTTACACTCAGCGCTCAGTTCGTGTTTGATTTATGAACGTTTAAACTAAGACCTAAAAAATAATAATTTTTTGGCCATCAGTTAGTGTCTAACCTGGTTGTGTTGTAATGCTTGCGGGCATCGTGTACGTGTGCGTGGGTCAGACCCAGTACTGGTTGCGACGCAGCATGGGGTTGGCTGGCGCACCCCCACCACCACCTCCGCCCCCACCACCGCCGCGCACAGGGTAAGCGCACTCGCTCGCCTCGTAACTGCTCCAGTCTTCTGCCTGTAATAGCAAGTTGAATATAAAAAAAAGCAATTTTAATATATATACATGACGCACGCATGTATATTAAAATTGTTTTATATTCAAATATTTATATTCAATAAGGTTTACTATAATTAGTAACGTTCATCTGAATTACTTTGCAAATAAATAATAAATAAAATAGGCGTATTTTTGTAATAGTAAGAGAAACTGTTCATCAGTGGAGGGGAAAGTCTTCCGAAAAATCCTGGGTCCAGTGAAAGTGATGATGGGTGCTGAAAAGTCCGCATAAATTCAGAGATTCAACTTGTCTCCGAGCCAAACATAATTGGAGATATTAAAGTCGCCTTCGATAATTCAAACACATTGAACAAATTTAGCAAGATCGAGTACCCAAAAAGTATATTTCAGATAAGTTCATCAGATAATAGGATAATAGCTACATTGGTACAGAAACTCTCCAACACCACATCTCAAAGGCATCGATGCGAGCTCTATCGGCTTTTTTCAAGAACCATCATTCCGAGTCGTAGATGAATATGGAGAAGACCAGTGAAGATATGTAAAGATAGTCAAACGAAATACATATAGTGTATACATACGTCCGTGTGATCGTCGGCGCCGTACGGATACCTCGCGTTGAGATCTGCCAGCGCCTGGTCAGCAAGTGGCGTCACCTTGCACGCCACGCTGCCACCGGACGGCAGTGGAGTACTGCCGCCAGTGTGGACAGACTGCTCCGATGACACATACCTGACACATATACAACGTTTCAAATATCTATCCGTACATACTTTAAGGCGTTACTATACCTCATCATCGGCCCTTTTACGTCTCAACTGCAGGGACTCAAGCCTATTTGTAGATGGTTAGCGTGGATGAGCCATAACTCTCCACATTGGCCTGATGCGGATTGGCGGCAGCCAGGATCAACGGCTTAACGTTCCTTCCGAAGCACGGACTAGCTCGAGATAATAATTGTTTGGACACCAATCACCGGCCCTTGCAAAAGTGGCTTAACAACAACGATCGTGGGCCGCGGCGCTATATAACTTAAACCTTTTAAATATAACTAGCCGTTATCTCACGAATTCGCCCGCGTAAATTATAGCCTATGATCATATGCAGGTAGCATATCCTTTCCGTAAGTGATTGTTTTTTAAAATAAGTGCAGTAGTTTCGGAGCCCATTCGATACATGGCGATTCTCTTATTCCAAAACTAATTTATTGTTTGACATACACATATACAGATGTAGACTTTGGGACATAACTTTACGAAACAAAAATTTTGCAATTATTGTTTTAATATGATGACCTCTAATACTGACGTCAGGGTCAGGGACACCCTAAGCAAGCTAAAGACAAACAAGTAAGCTGGAGTGGGCACTTAAAGAGGTAGGTGTGAAAATCCTGTTTGATTTGTGCAACCAAGTTTGACAAATTGGCAAATGGTCAACGGACCTGAAACAGTCTCTACTAGCCCTAATTCACAAAAAGCGTTCTACAAAACAGGACGCAAAGCGAATTCGCCTCATTCGGGTAGTTGTGACAGGAAGAATCGTCGCCGGACACAAATAGCAAAGAATGCTATTAGCAAAATGACGACGATATGACATAACAGGAACATCCCCAATATTACTAAAATGAGTCTGGTACGCACACTGATAGTCTCAATCTTCTTGTACGCATCTAAACTCTGGACAATTCGAGCTTTATACCGTAAATAGATCGATGCCTTCGAAATGGGGTGCTGGCGAAGGATGCTCCGGATACCGTGGACAGCAAAGAGAACAAATAAGTCGATTCTTGACCAGCTAAAGATTAAAACCAGACTGTTTACCATCTATTATCAACGGATTCTTGGCTAATTTGGCCACATAGCTCGGAGGAAACTAAATAGTCTTGATAAAGTGGATGTGGTAGGCAAGGTATATAGAAAGAGAGCACAAGGGCGATCACCAACCCGTTGGACTGGTGATGCGAGGTGATGTGAGATGAGTGGTGATGGAGCTCACTATAACCGAAACGCTCCGACAGACTGATGACAGGAAAGTATGAAGCAGCTCGTCAATTCCTATACCAAAACATTTCAGGACGGGCACGACCTTCAGTAATGAAATATGCGACTAAAAAATATAATAATCAATGTTTTTATACCTTACATCTTAAATAAGAAAGTTTTATGATTGTTCACTCACTTTGAAGGAACTATATTATAGCGTTTTTGTGCGTGAAGATATGTAGTTGGGAAATGGGAAACCGAAATAGATTACTTTTTAGTTCAAAAAAAATCTATCTTGCGGAAATATTCATTATGTTGAGTTTTCATTCGACCACACGGTCGAAATTATTTTTAACAACTAACAGCCAGTTGCACAAACGTCCATTAAATTCTTCATTATTTTTAAGCGACATTACCCATACAAATTTGACATTCATTTGAGCTTAAAGGCGTTTTTAAACCTTAACGGACGTTTGTGCAACTGGCCGTAAGTATCGTATACAAGGTTACTTTTAAAACACCAGCAAACTCGCAGGATTATATAGTCAACATCATGAACAACGTATGATCTAAGAGTTTTAACATAACTCAATACTTTAAACAGAAATGTATAGTGCTGTCGAGACATTCCTGTCTACCTTTTTTCATAGACGAAAAGACGCTACATTTACGTACTCTGTAAAATACCTACATATAGATGCGTAAAATTTAACGAATAATCAATTTTGTTTTGATAATTTTGATTTTGTTGGTATTTTACAAATAACCCTGTATATATAGGTGGGATATTGACCTCTTGATAGGCGGCGTGCCTTGCGACGGTGAGGGCATCAGATGATCCGGCGGCCTGGGCAGCGGTATAGGAGCGACCGCGCCCTGACTCTGCCCGTGTATTTTAGCGAGCGCGTTCTGGTCGCGCAACAAGTACCGGCGGCACTTTAACAACGCGAACACAAACACTATCGCCAGTACTGTCCCAGACAACGCCATCAGTATCATCATGTAGTACGATGCCGTCTCACCGTTAGATACCTACAAGTTACCATTATTATTTTGTTATACCATTTGTTATATTATTTCCGAACTTAAAACTAAAAGCTAATAATGATACACTCGAATATATGTATGTTTCTTTCTCTTTATAACTGAGTGACCAACTGATATCAATAATCAAAATAGGATAAATCGATATTTCTTATTATATTTCTTACGAAATGTTAAGTGGTAGCCACTACCTAACTATCAAGATTTAAATGGGGAGTACATAGTTATCACTCAATCTCAATAAAAAGCTGGTAAGTTTCTTTCGCTTGTTCTTCTTGTCAGCTAAAAGACGTCCTGAACAAGTGGCAGGGGAAAAAAATTTTTTTTGGATGATTCAAAAGTGCTTGTAATAGCCTACTTGAGTAAAAAAAAAAAAAAAACTACGTAATATTCATTATGAGTACAAGGAATAACACAACACTTAAAATAAATATAAAAGATATTTAAAAAATGATTGTTATGTGACTTACCAAAACACCCTCGTGATATTCGGGATCATTAGGTCCCGGCAAATTTTTCTTTTGCCTATTTCCTATAAAGATTTTAATATCTCCGGCTGCCGGCTGCAACATAGTAGCAGCCAGCAAGAAACGAAAACTATCTTCTATACCATTCAAATCGTTCAATTTCTTTTTTGTTACATAATATATAACACCCGCTTTTATATCCTCGTGTGTGAAATAAGCTATATCCCTCTCTCTCGCACTCGTCTTCTCGCCGGAACTCCTAATTATTTTCTTTATAACACCGTGTCTTGGTTTCCTTAAGATAGTGTATACAGGATCGCTCGCCGTTAAATTTGCTAGACCAGAAGCGTCCATTACGTTAAGAGTGATTTTTGTTTTTTCAGATTCCACTTTCAGATCACCTAAAAGCCTCATGAGTGGCACCACGAACACTTGTATAGTAAAAGGTCGCGTCGCATTACTGTTATGGACGTACGCTACAAGATCAAAACTGTCATTAGCTGTAGTCATATCGTTCTGCATATAAATCACTACTTTATCGACTAAATCTTTATTAGAAAAGTATGTGACCTCATTACTGCCAACTTTAATCACTCCGTGCATTGGCGGTCGTGTAATGTTGTACCATACTTTCGCTTTTTTCGCATTAGTTTCGACGTAAATCTGGTCGGACGTTACGGTCGCCACGTTAGAACCCTGCTGAAGGCTTATAGGGTGCATAGAAGTTGCATTCAATATAACCGGAAGAATATCTATTGTGAAAACCTTGTAAATAGGTTTGAACTGTCCATCCCAAACACGAAAGTAAAACGTTGCTGTCTGTAGTACACCCGAATGTTCGTATATAACGCGGCCGTTGTTGATATCGTCCTGGGTGAACTTGTTTATAGACTGGGCTTCATCTATGGTTTGATTTTTATCTATCATCACAATCCGACCTTGCGTCGGTCCACTGATTATATCATAGAGTATGTCGGCCGGCGCCGTGTCCCCATCCTCAGTCAGTAGATCGTTCTTAGTTATAGTATAATTTTCACCTTGCACTACTTGTATCTGCGGTGTGTCGGTCAGTAGTCTAAAAGGTTGATCGTTCACCGGTATTATATTGATCGGGATCGTAACGTTACAGAGTAAAACGTAATCTGGCAACAAGTACAGGGCCATGTCGATTTTGTCCTGTATTGTATCTGTATCGTCGTGTTCGTAATTGACAACTCCACCTTCCAATTGCGACTGTGTCAACGATGACATTGGAGGCTGCAATTCCCCGTGCGAGGGCTGCGACCACTGCGCTTCGATTTGAGGTTGTCTCAACCCTGCCTGAGTTTCTAGATATGTTATAACGTTGGTGACGTTCACTACGATCGGTACTTTATCCCCCTCTTGGACGTTTATCTGCGGAATGTAAACGTACCTCGCTAGTCCCCCGGAGGACACGGATACGTCGATATTGAATATCTGGTCAGTGATCGGCTTAGCCAAAGCCGCTTCCACGGTGAATATAAAAGAGTCGTTCGTGTAAAGATCGGAAAACGGATGCGTATGCTCATAATAAACGATCGTTTCGTTGATATCCTTCTGAGAGAACTGCTTTATGGACCTGTGATGGTTGTCTCCGTTCAACATGATAAGCCTTCCGAGGGTGGGAGCTCTCTCCACCTTATAAACGATAGTTCTGGTTGGATCCGAGCATTTGGACATAAGGAAGTAGTTGTTGAGAGGCTCTCTCATCAGAGGGAACACGCGAAGTGTTTGTTTCCTAACAAGTTTTAGAGATACCGATTTAGTGGTTATGAGGAATGTTATTTTAGATAACTCGTGCAAGCCGTCGGTGACGTTGAATATCATTTTACCTTTTGTGCCATCTGAAACAACATCGTGTATTAGTTTCATTCAATAATTTATAATACTCGTGTCTCGAGTTTTTAAATAATGTTAAATCAAACGGTAATACAATATTAGTCACACTTCTAGTTATATTGTTACTGTTTTATAAATAACATTATATTTTCAAGTCATATATCTGTACTCCTCATTGAGACTTGCACAATATTAGCTTGCTTTATATTAATCAGATTCTGTAGTTGTACTATTTATATGATATAATGTTGATCTTGTATGTATGCTATGACGGGCCTACTTATACTTACTCTTGTGCACGAATATGACCTTCCCATTGTCTATGTCGGCCTGCGTGAATCGCTGCACCGGCGTGTCGAGATCACCGCGCAGGGATATGTACCCGGACACTATGTCCACCACCACTATTGTCACATTCTCTAATGGTGTGTCCACATCGTTCACATCTACATAGACATCACAATCTCTCAAAATCACACAAACAACTATCAGTCTTATATTATTACACATCATAGAAGACCAAAACGAAAACATGTTGAAATTTAGAATTAAAGGACAACTAAAGATTCTCACAAACACAAAACATTTATTGCTATATAGGTATTAGATCAGTCAAATATAATCAAGTCATTCTGGTGTATACTAGCTTATATTATGTCTCACGGTATGAGACATAATATAAGCTCGTATATGTCCATATCAGGCGCCTGATATGACTGTGTGAGGTGTGATATTAAAGGGAGTGAGTGATGAGATGACAGCTGATAGAGAAGAGTAGAATAAGAGGACACACTGTGCCAAGCCCATGTAGACCGGGAGCAGGACAGAAAGATGATGATACAAGTTCATTATGATATTCATGCCTTAAAAGACAGACTCTAAATATCTCATGTAAATTATTCAATATCAAAGGTCAATAATTTTTTTATCTCAGTTCCAGAATTCCTGTATGTAAAAATACGTTGCAAATTTATTAAAGTGATATTTTACGAATTATGTTATGTTATGACCTCCGTACTGTGACTGGTACACCGGTTTCAAGGTATCACTAGATATTCGTTTTAACTTGTGACTTAAAAAACTTAACGCGATGATGTCTAATTTTTTATATTTATTGTTAATTTTTAATAAACTCACATAGTTCATTTCTAGTGAAAGTGAAGGTGCCCCCTTCCCATACGCACAGGCCTGTGTTGGCGGCCACTATGGGCGTCTCATCATTCACTGGTACTATATTCACGTGAATATGAAACGGCTCACTCTCTTTACCGCTTGCAGTGACGGCTACCACTCTCAGGGAGTCGTATGATTCCTCCGAACCATCGTTTACGTACTGTTAACAAAAACATATCGATCGCTTAATATAACCTATTTGTTTAGTAATAATAGACGATTTTCATGGTTGGTCATTTCTGTATTTCATAATATTTTTTCTATTTTATCCTGAATCTGGACAATTGCAGTATCTTAGTTTTAACAACTTCCATGATACAATAAATAAATAAAATAAATTTTTGAATAGGAATTAGGAGACTATAGATATATATAGGTTTATTACTTGATGTTACCATTACATTCTCCAAAATAAAAGGGATCGTGCAAATCATTTTCACGATTACATATATGTCAAGTAGATAAATTCACAATCGACACTGGTGGTATTAGAGACCATACCTAAATAAACATAAGACAAACAAACCTGTATATTTCGAGAATTGAGCTTCAAAACGGGCAACAGAGTCAACTCCTGGTCGCTCATGATGATCTTCCCATACTTAGGTTTGTCCAACACTTTGTAACTAACCACTTTACCCCTGTAGTACTCAGTGAGTGTTCTGAATAAATCTGGCTTCAAACTAATCGCTTCACCCTCAACTACCGTCAAATTAGTAGCGATCACGTAGAAATGTTCAGGTATTATAATGACGTTTAGTTCTAAGCCTCTCAGCCACACTATACCGTTGGTGACGTCCATTTTGATTCTATCACTAGTTTTGTTCACTCCGGACTGTACGTAGACCAATCTGTTTACATTGATTATTGACTGGTCAAAGACTTTAGTGTGTATTGGCTCCTCGTTGTAGTTCTCCAGTTCTACTGTGCCCGGCGTAGATGAAATCTCTAACCATCCGTGGTAGGGACCCTCTGTCACTTTGTACACAATATTCGATGGTTCGATTTCGGGATGCATCACCTTCAAGAGATACAGATGGTCAGATATGGTTAAACCTCTTAATAGCAGGTTAAAAATAAAATTAAATAACAACGATCTTCAACTTTACATCAACAACAACAAAACAATGTTCCTATTTAATTACTCTCGAATTGATCCTAGAGTATGTGCGATTTAATTAACATTTCAGATGAAGACATAGAGTTCAGATGTTTTGTAGTGTCCATCCATACTCACTAAACTAAGATATTAATTGTCTTTCAAATTATTTAATGGCAGGCTACATCACATTAACTGTATTTATTTACTGTTATTTAAGTATATTTTATTTAGATGATTCAAAATTGCTTTCAATAAACTCATTTATATATTTTTATTAAACCTATATCATAAAAAATAAAAAAATTCTAAGTAAAATACTAATCTCGGAGAAGGGACTCAAATATAATATAGGATTGTTCAAAATTATCGTACATAAACTAATAACTAGGAGCGTTACCTCTAATACATCTTTAGTGATATTGACGCTGGTCGACTCCTCCACTAGTAGCGGTCGGTTTGTGGTCACACGAAGAGGCTCCCAGTAACTGGACGGGTAGATCTTGATGGGATAGGTGCCCTCGCCCCATGTTTCCAAGCACATCACTTTAAACCTGTTACCGCAACATTATTCAACATGTAAAAAGAAAGACGAGCTCGAACTGTGTTTTCATTTTTTTATACAGGTTTATTCTGAGGATACGTACAAATTGTGTAGAAAAAATATTTCGGCCAGTGACTTCGCCTACGCGGTCCTGTATTATACATATAAACACTCTTCTTGTATTATACACATTAATACCGCTACAAAGAACAAAACCGCTACAAAATCGGCTATGCAGTTTAAAAGATCTCAGCGTACAGATATCGGGGAGCGATTGTATATAATATGTATAGATAATGTACCGTTTTCACAAGTCCGGTATAGCCTCGACTAAATGAAGACAATCCACTCGATCGATTCCAATCCCTCGAGGTTTTTGGCTCAAAATATTACGGAACTGGTTGTTTTCGCGGGTCAATTTAAATTAATGAATGACAATTTGAATAACACTTTTAGAAGAAAAATGAATATAAACTATGGTTGTGTATGTGGTTTAATATGATCATATGAAAGTAGCAGTGCTTATATGTGAGATACAGACCTAAACTGGTCGACGTGTGTGCCCGGATGGGTGTGCTTGTATGTAAGCCGGCCAGCGGCCACGTCCAGCTGCGTGAACGTGTATGTTCCCCGCCCTTCACCCATCCCCAACCCCATCCCTTCCCCCACCTCTATACATCCGTGCTTAGGCTCCAACTTCACCTCATAACGTATGTCCTCCTCCAAACAATTCATGTTCGTGTCCACCTAATCATTAACAAAAGTTAAAATTAATAAAATAACATCTTTGTTATAACGCGATAACAAACGGTAATCGCGTTATTACAAAGTATATGTTAAAAAGGAGTTTTTAAACAAAACCAAAAGAAATAATGAAATGAAAGCCATTAGATTTTATTTTATTTTTACATTATTTTATCATGTTTACTTATTATGACCATATAACCATAATAAGTAACAACAAAACTTAACAATAACAATCAAAAACCAACAAAAACATAACAAAAATTATGTGTGATATCAACACAACCCAACTCAATACTTGTTCTTGTCAACCAGTGTATATTTGTTAACTGTACTGATTTTTGAACGAAATTGCGTCATCAAAATGGTGGCCAGACGTTAGCGATTAGCGGGGATTATACCAGGATCTGACGGCAAAAAAACAAAAAAAAGCAATATAAATTGTTTACTGTTTACTGTTGAACAGTCAAAGTGTAATTTGTTGTGATAATTTGTGAAAATATTAACTTATTTTGTAAAAATGTCCAAAAAACCATTGATATCTCTAGCGAGAAATATTGTTTTTAATGTTTATAACAAAGGGTTTAGCCGGATACGTATGACGAGTCGGCCCCCAAATGGGAATCGATATTGAAACTTATGTTTTAATATCGACTTGATGTTCAAACACGATTTATGTACTTTTCGCGACCGACTTCCGCTTTGACCTTGAGATAGAGAGCAAAATATCCGTATGCTTGACTATTACTGAATGTGATATATCTCTGAAGCTAATTAAGATAAAGAAGTGAAACTAACGCGAGGTGTTAGGTTACATTACAGAGTATATCACAATTATTTTTTTATAATTTTTAGAATAAAAAATTACATTAAAAAAATAAAAATAAAAAAATCATGTTTTTTTTCTGAGTTCTCTGTGACTTACAATCACGAAATTAATATATGTTATGCTCCTTTGTGTGCTCTATCACCCATAAAAATTGCGTGAAAAAAAAGTTGGTGCAACACAACGAAAAAAAATTATATGTGATTCGCGCCTTGTAGTGTGAGTGTATAAACAAACAAGTTCGAACTTGTTATCGAGCTGTTTACTGCATCGTTTGTTTAGCTAAAGTAGCAGTCATTTGTATTACACAAGAAGGCAGTTTGGGACTCAAATTCTGTCATAGGTATTTTGTATCAGCATTTTGAAATTATTAACTATCGAACCAAATCATTATTAAGTAATAATGTCGAGAAAGTGTAAAAATTGTAACAAGTACCTGTGTAAGATTCCTGGTTATAAAAAAATTATAAAGAATGAAGAAGAAGCTAAAGTGTTTAGTGACTGTTTGAATAAAATCGTAATAGTTAATGATATTTTTTGTAAGAAGTGTCGACTTATCCCATATATTAACAAAAAAGCTTCTACTTCTAAATGTGCAGCATTTAACTTGGCCGAAATAATGGACGATCAAAATAATCTCTCAGTACAATATGTGAAATCAGCACCTAATATCATCAAAGCAGAAGTAAAATCAAGACATATAAATAGAAAAGTCTATCGAATTTACATTCACTATATTTCCGAAGGTAATGACTACAATAGTATTCTTCGTTATTGCTGTGATTGCCCCAATGGCGAACGTACAGTGGGATGCTGTTCTCATGTAGCAGCTATTATTTATTATCTATCATATGGATGATATTTGTCCAAAATCGTACGTCCTGCTGAGGTCCTAACTAAGTTATTTGCGACTCAAAGTGTTCCGATTGTAATTAATTACAACAGTGACGATGATTAATATTTTGTTTCTTGTATTTTGATAGACACGAAAAAGTAATAATAATAAGTATTGAACACTGGCTGTTTTTTTTTTATTTCTTTTTTAACTATTATCCCATCTCTTAAGACTAGTTACTTATGTTTTAAAACAAGCTGATGTGAAATTTCGAAAAAAAAAACAATGATGTAATGTGAAAACCTTATAATACAGGGGTATACCATAAGACAGAAATCACATATAATTTTTTTTCGTTGTGTTGCACCAACTTTTTTTTCACGCAATTTTTATGGGTAATAGAGCACACAAAGGAGCATAACATATATTAATTTCGTGATTGTAAGTCACAGAGAACTCAGAAAAAAAACATGATTTTTTTATTTTTTATTTTTTTAATGTAATTTTTTATTCTAAAAATTATAAAAAAATATATGTGATATACTCTGTAATGTAACCTAACACCTCGCGTTAGTTTCACTTCTTTATCTTAATTAGCTTTAGAGATATATCACATTCAGTAATAGTCAAGCATACGGATATTTTGCTCTCTATCTCAAGGTCAAAGCGGAAGTCGGTCGCGAAAAGTACATAAATCGTGTTTGAACATCAAGTCGATATTAAAACATAAGTTTCAATATCGATTCCCATTTGGGGGCCGACTCGTCATACGTATCCGGCTAAACCCTTTTGTGAAAAGAAGCTGAAGATCGACGATTTTGTTTTTAATTTAGTGTATTTATGAATTAACCATTAACGATACTTATTTTTTTATTTTAAAGAATTAATTGGTAAATGTTCATTGGCGTGTGGCTACTACAATAAACAAATTATTAATAATGAAGATTATTGATATGAAGACTTTTCTACGCCGAGTAAAAATAGGAATCGTGAAAAGAAAATATACTAAAGCTAATTTGATTTAGATGTGTACGCGTATTAGCTGTTGCAATATTAGAAGAGATTAGTAAGTAAGATATACATAAACTGAATTTTATTTTATTTATTTGTGTTAGATTCCGAGTCAGGTAAAATATTACAGGGTTTTTTCTGAGCCGGGTGCTGTCACGACAAAATATTAAATGTTGGTAATATAGAGCGTAGAAGTGTATGTTTGAGCACCATATTATATCCTACGCAGAAGGCTAATCTATGTAGAAATTTGTTAAGATAGGAATGTGGTCAGGCGAACGTTCAATGCTATGAGGCATTTATTAAAGTGTTTATTATATTAAAATATTACAAGTATCAAGATGTCTTTATCTTTTTTTCCGAATGTTGATTCTATAAATTAAAATTTCCCGAAATGACATCAGATTCTGGTATACCTATAATTAATTTAATCCGTATAATGGTCACTCGATAGATAATGCTGATTTCAAAGATATTGTGTATTGATGAAAGTCTGTTTTGCGTTTATTATCTTTTTATATATGTCGCAGCGCAGACAACTGGTTTCAACGGCCCTTCTATTCTATAAGACAGCTCGCCTTTTAATTGAATATCACCATTTAATTGCACAGCTAAATGTCAATTAGTTGAGTATATGAACATATGTTTATTTAGGTACAATACGGCAGTACCATAATTAAGAATATTTATTATTCTACCTCCATATAGAGGACAGGAATGAGTCATTTTGATGTCATAAACTTAAAAATTCAATTATTAAAAAATAAAATTATTAAAAAACTTAATATTGTATGCAAGCATAAATACAGAGTAAAAATCGTCTAATGAAAAAAAGAGAATAATAGTAATAAAAATTAGTAAGCGCACAGTTATAACATTGATATTTATTTAATACAATCACCTGCATGTCTCTCGCAGTAATAACAACGGCCTTCCCGTTCTCCACTATAGATCCGTTGGTCGGATACATTCGAATAAACGGCGGCGACGCCTGTATTTCCAGGTTACCGTTCACATCGAACACACCGTCCGATATCCAGAAAGCTATCTTGCCGTACTCTTTACCTTGATGTTTAAACAAAACCAAGTTTTTATTGATATCGTCCTGTGAAAATTGGGTTATTTGCTCGGCAGGATTGTCAGCACGGAATATTCCTCCATTTGGTGGGTCTTCCGTGTATCTTCGTATTTTATAAATAATGTCCGAGGGTTTCGTGTCCAAATCAGCATCAGTATAACTCAAGTCGCGAGCTGTAATGAGTCTCGCGCCACCGTGTACTATGTGAAATATGTTTTCGTTCACCCGCACCGGGCTATTGTCATTCTTCAGTATGATATCGATATGAAACACACCCACGTATTGAAAATCTTCCGGCTCCGGACTCAACGCCATGAAGTGAAACGAATCATGTCTACTCTCTGAATCGTCATGCGCGTAATAAACTCTATCCGAATTCAACTCTTGCAGTGTAAAATAAGTGGTGTTGTATCGAGCTATTTTCAAATTCTCATTTATCACTTCAATTATACCGTGTTTCGGCAAATGCGTTATATTGAACACCAGATTTGTCACCGAATCGGTGCGGAAGTTCAGATGGGTAGCCGGTATCACCATTCTAGAGCCTTCCATGACTTGTAACCGTTCTAACGTGGTGTGAACACGTCCAGAAGTACGATCAGTGGTCACAGAACCGGGGACGTGTCTGATGGTCATGACTCCCGTTATGTTATCGCATTCTGCTGCACTCACTACGAATAAGAACTCATCTTGTATATGCGAGTAAGCTCTCCTGTGTAATCTATACCAAAGCTGATCTGTGTCGATGTGGTGTTGTGTAAACGTGCTGTGGATTTGTAGATGATGTTTTCCCGATGAAAGATGAAGGATACCATATTTGGGAGCTCTAAGTATCGTGTATTTAATGCGGTCACTGGACACTGTGAGCGGTTTGGTTTGGAACCGAAGATGTTGCGATGATATAAACGCTTCTCTTGTGTTGTTTAAGACGAGCTCTTCGTTAGTAGATTGGTATAGCTCGAGCTTTATGAAAGTAAGCCGAAAGTCGTATAGAGTGTTCGTTCGTATCGTACCAACTGATGCTTTGAACTGTAGCAAACAAAACAACATGAAATATTAAATTAATATTTTTACACTATTATAATTTATAATTCATTTAAATTAAAAAGTTGCCCGGACTGCGAAAGATTATTGGTTCCGCCTTAGGCACTTAGAACTAGTGATATTTTAAGAGCCCTATTACAAATTTGCACTATGTTAGATTAGGTATTTTTAAGTTTCCCGTGTTCTCGACAACTTGTTTAAGGTCACTTGTCCACAATACTGTGTTGAACTGTGACCAAGCTATTTTGATACTTTTTCCCAATTTTTCTACATTTTGGTATTTCTATGGTTATCGCTTTCGGAACATTTTAACACGACTGCCCAAGAAAAGAACTCTATTGTATTTAGAGGTAATGTAGGTATGTATGTTGGTTTTTTATGCCACCATAACTTTGAAAAGGATGAGTTTATAGGATTACATTAGAAACGTCACATCATTCTCAGTGACTACAAACTGCATAGTGTATCAGTTACACTGACTATATTTTTTAATATAAAATATGGCGAACGATAGCTAATAGTTGCTATTTTAAATGTGAAGTTTATTGGACACCTAAACTTAACTTTGACCCGACCGGGAATCGATCCCGGCCGTCATAGATGGCGACACCTTGAAACCGGCGTGCGAACCACTCGGCTACGAAGGTCGTCGCCGAGTGATTCGCAAGTAAGAGCAACATGCTTGTAGGTATTTAGTTGTGTTGTGTTGTTACCTTAAACTCGTCATGGGCGGGGTTGCCGAGTAGATGCACGTATCGAACTCGTCCGAGCGTTACCATCTCGCTGGTGAAGGAATCTACTGTCTGCCAGGTTCCATCCACCGCACGCAGACGCTCCACCACACCGAACTGAGGCGGCTTCACTATATCATACCTGGGCACATACACTGTGTCTTTACACATTCGTTCATATATTACAACTTATCTCAAGGTCAAGGTCAAAGATATATACAGGAATATTTTTTTTCCAGTGCAAAAATTTTTTTTGGTGGTTCAGTATCAGTAATAGAACACTTTTCCATAATTAGTTAAAATTTTTTTTAAAAATATTTTTATCCCTATCGAAATGGTAGAATATGGACACATTTTTTAAAATAAAACTTCAATGAAAACGTCTTCTCTTGCGTATGCCACCGTGCAACCCCGCCGCGCCCGGTAGCCCCCCGCCACAGCCCCCACCGCCCCGCCGGGACCGAGTGACGCGCGCGACAGTGAGACTCATACGCACGCGCCGATGTGACGTGTCCTCGCGTTCCCGCGCACGCGACGCGCCCGCCGTCGTGAGTTTTACGAGATGTACGAGTTTATCTTCTGAGTGGTGAGAGCCTACATAAGCGCAATTCGGAGAAAGTATGCGACGAAGAGCATACCTCGTATGCGGGCCTTTGGGATCCGTAACCCCGCGGTCCCTAATGCTTCGAACCATTTTAACAGACGAAGTCCCAGAGTCAGTACCCACGATGCGGCATATCTCTTTGGTGTGAGCCAGCCTGCGGTATTGAAGCTGCTAAAAACAGCCGGACTCCATCCGTACCACTTTCAGCCGGTTCAGCAGTTCCATGACCTAGACCCAGTACCACGTCGAGCCTTATGTGAGTGGCTTCTACATCACCGCGATGCAAACATCTTGTAGACAGATGAGGCATTGTTCACAAGTGAGGGACTGTTTCTTATGGGAAGAAGTCAAACGCCGAGATGTAGAGGAGGCACAAAGTCTAGAAGACTTAACAATAAAAAATAATAACGCTTTCAGTGAAGTGAAAAGTGACACTAGTGTTTTAAACAAATTAAATGACAATTTAATGAAATGTGCACGTTTATGTCTGGACAGACGTGGACTTCATTTTGAACAAATATTTAAATACATGGTAAGTAATTAGTTAGGTATTTGTTTTGATTCAACATTATTGTAAATACGTAGTTGATTCTAATTTTTTTAAATACGCCTTAACGCAGAAGTACCTATGTAACTTCGGCATAACGTTAATATTTTTTTCTAGGTAACGAATTTGTTTCTCTTTTATTTTTTTGCATTTTGATGGCCTTAACCATAAAAGTATGAAGGGAAAATTGGAATTACTCTTAGAAATCACCTCAGATCATGGCATAAAATCTAGTTCGAATCTAACAAAATGAGCGTTCAGTGACCCGTGTAGATAGGTACCTACGAGTACATGCCTACGGCGGCGTCGAGCGAGCGCTCAGCTGACGCACGGCGCGCGGTGTCCATAAATTAAGTTTTAAAATCTCGATCTTTGATAAGCGATAATTTTATTTTTTAGTATTAGAACATATCAAAATAAAAAATACGTGTTTATTTAAATTACTTAAAGTTTATTTTCACAAAATCTTCGCAGTGGTTTTAAATTATTCCTGTATACACCACCATAAATATGGAAATGAGCAAACAACAAAAATAAGTACACAATAATTTTAACATTATATATATCATGTCAAAATATTCATATAAAGACTTATAAAATTGTATTCTCTTAAATGCATATAAATGTGTACACAATAAATAATTGAAATGTAGTTAATGGGCATTAATATGTGAGCATTCGAAAACACAAATTTATGTATTTAGGGGTACATTAATTTGTATTCAAATTACATACTTCCCTATTTATGCATAAGCAGTAAAGATTAGTTTCGGTCAATCATTAATAATATCTGTGCTTAAGCTCCACCAATTTACATTAGGACCTGCACGTGGGCCCAGTAAGGAATACTGGGTGGTTTGGTTTTATCCATTAAGAATATCTGTGATTTAGGACTACCAATCCGCATTGGAACCTAGGCGCAGGCCAAGTTAGGAATGTAGGTGAATAGATTTTTATCCATTATGAATATCTTTAGCGCTACCAATTCGCATTGGGCCCAGTACGGAATGCTGGGTGGATTGGTTTCATTTTATTTCAGCACCTACACATGAACGGAACCTGCAAGCGAAACCGAAAAAAAACAATTATTTTATTAATAATTTTTGCATGACTTGTGACGTCAAAAGAAAGAGACAAAACATCATTCATAATAGGCTCTATTGACGGTGATTGACAAAACATAAATAGTTTTGTATATAAATAAATGCACCCTAAAGTGAACACATAATTTGTGTTTTCCAATGCTTATACCTGTGAGGTGTAATTTATTATATGCCAGGAATTCGTGGGGTGGATTTATTAACCTTTTGAGCCCGGGTCGCAGAACGCCGTAAATCGCTTGTGCCGGCGGGCTATTACGTTATCGCGCGAGCGGTACTTGACATCGTACTTTTTTGTTTATAACAGCTCTTGGTGTTTGTTTTTAGAAGATCATGTTACTTTCTTTGAAAGCCAGTATTATAGCCGATAAGTAGAAATAGAAATAATAATAGTTGAGTGTTTATTTAATTTTGTACAGCTCTTTGTTTCAAAGAAAACTAGAAAAAATCCGGTTTGTTGACAATAAATCTATTTTATGAACAAATACATCACGTTTTTATATTTGTTTTTATGTCCCTACATTCTCTATAATATGGTCTTTCAAAATAAAAATGAAAATATACATGTATTCATTATTGAAATTATACTTTTTCACTCGCAAAGATACGCTAAAAATTAGTGTTGAAGAACAGATTTCGCGCGCGGAGAGCGCTCGTTTTCAAACCCTTTTTATGAAAGTATTATAGCGTAATCACTATATTTTTTTATATTATCATATACATACAACATTCAATAATAGTATATATGTTGATACATAACTGTTGAAGCAATAGATTTTTCATAATACAACTAAACATCTCAAAGGGTGTATAATTCCATAAAAAACACAAGAGTTTGCTTTTGATCGTATTTATGTATGATAATCGTCTTATTTCGATCAACACTATCTAATCTAGATAAATAAACATAACTTTCCAATTATATCACAGAAAAGCACTCAGATAATCACAAAAGTTCACACTTGAAAACAACACAGCACCGGTATCAACCGCGTCAACGAAAATGTCAAAATATTTTTTTTTTCTTTTAAACTGAGTAGAATGAAGTTGCATAGAGTAAATTTAGACCATGAAGCATACGTTGGTAATGTTACCAACGCCAAAAACAATCAACAAAGGTATAAAAAATGAATTGACATGAATTGACATGAATTCACGCCCGCCGGACGCAACGGAACTTTTGTTGGGCGTGAATTCACGCCCGCCGGCCTCAAAAGGTTAAGTATACTGAACAACTTTTACTATGGGAGCCAAACTGAATTTACAAAAAAAAAATTATTAGCTGTTTCATACTGTCAAGTATACTCGACTAATACCCTCCACGAAGTCCTGGCATATAATAATATTACACCTTATATGTTAATTCCTGTGAACTACATTGTGTACACATTTGCATTTAGAAAAATACAATTTTAAGGGTCTTTATATGTATACATAAATAATGTAAAACTACTTGTATCTATATATTCGAACTTGATGGTACATTAAACTAACATAAAAATCTCTTTGGGATTGTTACGTTACCTAAAATAAGTTTGAAGGGGAGACGGCTCATAAGTCACGTTAGTGAACTGACGATTCTAATGGGTATAAGCACAGAACACGGAAAAGAGGTTAGAAAGGCGATCATGCATCCTTTGTACGAAAACCGATGTAGCCAGTCTTGCCCCACTTTTAGTCCGCCGTACATCAGACGAATAATCAGACCAATTATACAAAAGATATGCACACACTTGTATTTTAAACATGCCAATCAGAACGCTCCAATATAACTATAACCAATCACGCTCAACCATAACAGACATCTATAGTGACATATCACACTAGTGATTGACATAAAGTTATTTACTATCGATATTGAAAAACAACAAGTCGATTAATTGAAAGGATACTAGATTAATGATTTCTTTATATTATATTGGATATACATTGAATTGTATTGATTAAATGAGACATTATCTTTTTTCTTTAGATATAAATTCTTAATTAGTTGGTTGATTCAATAAGAAATATTTAAATTACTA